GTGCCATATACATATATATGTTCATATATTCAAGTATTTTTTGGCCTGTATATGTATATAGTAACAACCATAACAACAATAGTATAGTAATGACAATCAGAACAGAAAATAGTTACTGATACTGATAATACTAGCAACAGCAACAATAAGTATTATTATCACTGGTAATATATACAATAGAATATAACATAGTATAATATTCTATACTACAACATAATATAATATACTATGAGCATAAACATAAACAAATGCATACATGCATGCATGCATGTTACATGCTGACAGACAGACAGACTGACAGACTGAAAGATTGACAGACTGTCAGACTGACAGACTGGCAGACTGACAGACAGACACACTGACACACTGACACGCTGACAGACTGACAGACAGACACACTGACACACTGACAGACAGACAGACTGACAGACTGACCGACTGACAGACTGACAGACAGACATACATACATACCTACACACGCATATATTTAGATCTATATTTATATTTATACTTATATTTATATTTACATATATACTCCCTGAGTTGCAGGGCAAAGTGTGGTCTATGGGAAGGTGATGCCGAGTTGAGGCCTTCATGTGGTTGCCTGGGTCTCGCCGGTGCTTGGCTGAGCAAGTTGGGCTCGGAAGTCTTCATGGACATGTGATGAATGGAGGGTTTAGGGCTTAGGGTTTCGGGGTTTAGGGTTTCGGGTTCAATGTAAAGACCGACACCTAGTGGCCCTAAACTCTTATCCCCAATACCATAAACCAAGAACCCTAGAGGCCCTTGACCCAAGACCCCAACCTGCGAACCCTAAACCCATGGGTGTGTAGGGTTTACACCCATAAAAGGGTACTGCATGCTCGAAGAATCTGTACTGTCAGATGATCCAGGCGCTCTTATTTAGAGACTTGTGCTTAGATCTCAGAACTCCTTCGAGGCGAGCTTGCTTGTAGCCGTGAAAGTTGCGAAATAATTGCTTGGTTGGGGCAGCCATGGATACTCTCCGTGAAGACTGCTGCGTTTGCCTCCGCCGCACCCGGCGGCGGACACCCTGCCAGCATCCACTGTGTGCCCCGACATGATTGACATGCCTTGATGGATCGGAATCGGCCGCCTGAAACCCAGCCTGGGATGGGTTTGCAGCAAGGTGCTTCGAGGTATCGAGTCTAGATTGTGCACACGGTTCCTCAGAAATCTGATGCCCACTTCGCTTCGTGATTGATCGAAGCTGTCCTGCCGAAAGCTCTACTGTGGCGTTTATGGGGTTTGGGGTTTATAAACCCTAAACCCTAAAGGCCCTAAACCCTTTCCTTTGCAGGTAGGTACTGCTTCAAGCGCCTTCGGAGACGAGAGTGCCCCTACTGTCGGAGCGAGCTGGTCATGACTGTACAGGAGAGCTGGAGAAGTCTAAGGTTTCTTCTATAAGTCGGAGGCTTGGTGGGGTGTAGGCGGTGTAACGGAGGGATTAGGGTTTAGAGATTGGGGTTTGGGGTTTAGGATTCAGGAAGAAGTTTCCGGTTGGAGTGCTGCGCAGCGTTCTCTACAGTCTGTCAGCTGTCTCCTGTGCTGTGCAGGAGATCCAGCACAGACCAACACCTTTATCACCAGATGATCTGGAGCTGCCACGTGGCTACACGAACTATAAAGGTCTGAAGAGTAGGAGTGGCATTTTCTGGGGTATGCTATGGAAGGATTCTACTACAGTACCAGTAGATTAAAACAATCGATAGGAACTATACAAAAGGGGACACTGTTGTGAAACTATGTAGGGTAGTTGCTGGCCCCTTACGGCGTTGTATCAGGGATTGTGTAGGTATCTTACGGGCTTCATAAAGGTGTCGGAGGGCCCCTATTTTTACATACCAGTTTCAACTTGTTGGGCGCGACCAGCAACAATCCTAAGGAGGCGAGCGGAAGAGCGAGAAGCAGTCACAAGTGCGCAGCCTTCATAACTAATCTCGAAGCCCTTACCTTCAAAGCTACCACTTCCAGAACACCTGAAACCCTAAACTCTAAAACCCCTCGAGGTTGCGAAACTGCGACAGCTTGGACCAACTGCATGAGGTGGCCCTGACACTCTCAGGACCAAGCGGGCATAAATACTCCGGCTATATCACATGGAGGGTTGCCTCAAAATGAGCGTGACGGTATGCAGGTTTTCTTTAGCTAGAGCTACTACTGTACTTAGTTAGGATTCTGTGTTGCCATTTTTTATTCTCTGAAATTCCCTGATGTCGTCCGGCAAGCGAGTTGTCTTGACAGCAGCATGCTGTTTAGGAAAGATGCCGACGAGCTCACCAAGTGACCGTCGAAACGTTATGGCTGCCGTCGCCAAGCGCTGCTGTTGTTCCGGGGCCCAGCATATCTCCTGTCGTTTTATAGGTTTAGGGTTTAGGGTTATAGGCTTAGGGCTACCCAAAAAATCCTAAACCCAAGGCACTCTTGTAAGCCGCAAGCCTTAAAGCCCCTTTTCCTACGCCCGAAAACTAGCCCAACGCCCTGCAGTACAACCCGATAAGTACCCTAAGCCTGAAAACAAAACCTAGACCTCTAAATCCCCAAGCCCCTAGATCCCAAGCCAAGAGACCCTAAGCCACAACCTCAAACCCTAGACCCTAAACCCCGAACCTATGGACCCTACTTGGAGCTTCATGGCTAGTTATAGGTGGGGTTATAAGTCACCGAATTTGGGTTATAACTATAGTTACCCTACTTATAACCCCGCTTATAACTACCCGTGAACCTCCTAAACCCTAAACCCTAAACCCTAAACCCCTAAACCCCTAAACCCCTAAACCCCCCAAACCCCAAACCCTAAACCCCAAACCCTCAAGTACAGGACCTCCAAAATGCATCGAAGGCTTCACGAGCCTGGGCTGGAGGTCTCAACTGGACGCGACCGCCGCAGCTCCTGGGCTCTTCTCAACTAGGGGTTAGGGCTTAGGGTTTAGGGCTTAGGGCTTAGGTTTCGGGTGTAGGGTTTCGGGTTTCGGGTTTAGGGTTTAAGGGCAACCTTCAACGCTTCAGCCCTAAACCCTTCAACCCTTAAGCCCTCAACCCGAATCTAGGCCTGAAGCCCGGAGACCCGAAACAATCCCATGAACCTTAAGCCCTAAGACCGCAAACCCGCAAAACCTAAACTACGGTTGATGATATAAATCCTTCATTACCCATAATAAAGAAT